AGTCTTCAATGAACACATGCAGTAGAACTACATGTACTAGAGACGCTCCTGCCAAGCTCTGAGGCCCATGTTTCCCCTGTCTGTCGTCAGCTGACAGATAGCGGTTACCACTCAGGAAGTGCCAGTGGACCAGACCTGTCCCCGGAACGACCCTCTCCACATTCCTGCAGGTGTCGCTTCCTTAAAGAGCACTGAAAATGCCACTTGTTCTTCTAAGATGTCTTCAAGTTGTTCTTTGGAGGTGTAGTGGTTAGCAGTCCTGTTTACAGACCTGAAGGTCGTGATTGCTTCCTTAAATAGAACCCAAAATGCCTGAGGTCTGAGGTGTCTTCAAGGGGTTAATTGAGGTGTAGGGGTTAGCAGTCCTGTTTTCAGACCCGGAGGTCATGATTTTGATCCCCAACTTGCACACTACTGGAAAGGGTTACAGTCCCTTGGATGGGATGATATGCCACGGTCCACTGTTCATTGCACTTGCTAGAAACAGTAATTTCTATGGTTCATCATTTTATAACAACTTGTTTTTGGTACCATTTCTTTTCCAGACTATCATGAAAAAGTGAAGAGAGTGACTTTTAAAGATTTGACTTAAAGCATATGCGAGATAGACAACACACATTTTATCTTCTGATCAGGACCCTCTTTCTTCATTTTGAACATTTTTATGGCCACCTTTCTTGCGTTTCAAGTTTAGTGTTTTAGTTTGCTCTGGCACCACTGCCGATTACTTGTAATCCATGTCTGGTCTTGGCAGAGTCAGGCATTATTATGTAACAAACATAACATATATCACTCCCTTGGCTGCAAATCTTGGCAGATCTCCCAAACAGATTTAGTCTTTTGGACTAGTCACGTGTAGGGCTTGGTTCAATGCTGCCAAGCCATACCCTTTCCGAAAGACCTCTGACACAGACAATGGCATAAAATCAACCATTCACAAACACACAGGACTCATAGTCTCCACCAGACTCCTTTGCAGGCTAAATAAATAGTAGAAATTGGCCTGAAAATAATGTAGCTGGTCAGGGGAGTTGACATGACAGAGGGTCCAGTTTCTATGCATGCAAACTGGACCCTCTGTGGCCGGCCAACTCCCTTTGAAAGGAGAAGCAGCGATGACTAACATTTGGCTGCTGTTGTATTTTGCAGGTGTCGTCCCTGTACAAGGACGGGACCATTGTGTTGTCTATATTTTTATCTGTATAGCCGGTACATGTATATCTGCCCTTCGGTATAACACACCAGCTAGAGAAGAAGTCTGAAGCAGAAGCGATGACTGACGTTTGGCTGCTGTTGTGTTTGCAGGTGTCCTCCGTGTACAAGGATGGTACAAAGATTTTATTTTGCACTGTCTTAAGAAACTTGGAAACCACGCCCCCTTCCAAGTCGTGTTCCAGAGTTTTAATGCTGTCTGAAGCGATGACTGACATTTGGCTGCTGCTGTTTTTTGCAGGTGTCATCTCTGTATAAGGATGGGACCATCGGTAGCAGCATCAACATTGTACTGGTGGGACTGCTGATGCTGGATGGGCAGGAGGTGAGTAAGGAGTGAGTGAGGGAATGGATAAATAGATGAAAGAATGAGGGAATGAATGAATGGTGGGACTGCTCATGAATGTATGATGAATGAATGATACTGGTGGAACTGCTGGATGGGGAGGAGGTAAGGAAGGAAGGGATGAAGGAATGGATGGATGGATGGATGGATGGATGGATGGATGGATGGATGGATGGATGGATGGATGGATGGATGGATGGATGGATGGATGATGGTAGGACTATGTAGGACTATGAGGAGTGAAATCATCAAGCCAATGATGAATTGTGACCAGTGTTCTGGAGAGCCTTTCGGAAATTGTACTACCAGAAAACCAAGATTAACAACACCCCAGTGCCCAAGTCCAGGTGAGGACTAATCCCTCCCCTAATTGGGAGGCCCAACCTTCCACCTGCTGTAGGTTTGGTGGGTAATCGGTTAGCCACACTGAAAGCTTAGCTCTGCTCTACTCTACTTTCTGGGACACTGGGTGGAGGCAAGACTGTTAATCATGGAGGAGGGTCTGTCCTCTAGAACTGCAGGGGACTCTGATGCTCGTGCCAACAAGTTTCTCTTCTTTTTTTTCAGCAAAAAACACTTGTAAGAAGATCTTGAGATAACAATCATGGATGGCCCAAAATTTTACTGAGAAACAAGCTAGATCTCTTGGCTTTTTTGCCAAATTTTAGTTTTCTTGTACTACTAATAAGACAAGTAACCTTGCGTGCGTTGTCTCCTAAACATGCATGGATATTCTGTTGCCAATCGGCAAGTTTCTAAATATTTTTTTGTTACTTGAAACTTGTCAGACACTGGAGATGATTATAACAAAGGTCAACAGTAGCTGAAACTTTACTACAAGACACAAGGTCTCTCAAAAGTTACTTTGAAACAAGCTAGATCTCTTGTCAAATCCTTGTTTTCCTGTACCAGGGAGAAACAGATAACCTTGTGTGTAGAAGAGCACAAACCTTATGCCTTGTCCTTGACTGACCTTCAAAGTACAGAAACCTGCTGTGAATGGAAATAGAACTCAGTAAATGTTTACAATTCTTCAAAATCACCGTCTTGTTTTTCAGTGCCCTTTGCATGACAGTACAGGCGCATAAACTGTACAAGAGCACAGCGGTGAAGGTCATTACTATCTAGAGGTCATAATGGAGTCAGATGTAGGGGGCATGAGTCAGACCTGGCCTTGTCCTTGGGGGCTGTGGGATTTCGCGGAACCATGGAACCAATTAGAAGGTCGCCCTTGCCTGGATAGTGTGAGGGGTGATTAGATGTTACATGTACAGTCACGGTGGGAGGGGGGCACTGGCTCTGACACTGACCTTGATTTTTGTTCTCTTCCCCAGTGCTGAAGATCAAGTATGAACCAGAAGGTCGCCCTTGCCTGGATAGTGTGAGGGGTGATTAGATGTTACATGTACAGACACGGTGGGAGGGGGGCACCGGCTCTGACACTGACCTTGATTTTTGTTCTCCTCCCCAGCGCTGAAGGTCAAATGTGAAGTGTTGAGCAGAATATTTCCTTTGGTCTTGGGGGAGAGGAAAATTGAAGTAATGGCCAGCTGATCACAATTATGGTGTTTTGAGAGTTGGTGGTTGAAAAAAGGAACTTTGAAGATTGTTTTCAACTACCATACTGTGATCTGTTCCATGACTTTTGTGTCCAAAAACCAGATTGAAAACCACTAGACTGTGCTTTTTCATCACTAAGCCAAAGGACATGCTCACCCAGTCAGGACAGTACTTTAATTCTATCAACAGTTACTCTTTCATTTGCAGCCTGTAATTGTAGTGTTGAGACATTGGCTCATTTCTTCCGCTAACTAGCCATGTCCTTGTCTTCTGGGGTGCACTTTCTTCCAACAGCAGTTTTTTTGAGGTGTAGTTGAGACTTTAAGAAGCGAATGATTGCTTGGTAAGAACAGGTGATTGCTTCTTGAGCACAGGATTTTGTAGTTTTGTAAACGGACGTTGAAAGTTTGCTTCTTGCCTTTCATGATTGCCTCTGTAAAAATGAAAGCGTCCCCAACGGGGAAACGCCCACCGGACGCCGTCCCTGCCCGTCCTTAGCGGGAAACGGCGTCCTGACCGTCCCAACACAGTTGGCAGCGTCCACAAACTTCCCCCGGACGGCCGTCCCAGAAATTAGTGACGGCACCCCGTCGCTCCCAGCCCGTCCTGAACCGTCCGGCATGGAAACGGGCGTTTATTAATTAATTGACAACAGCAGCGGCCGGCACTTACGTGCTTCACGATGTTTCCCAGGGGGGTTTAGGTTTCTAACGCACATGCGCCAAGTTTGAAGGCGCTAGATTTAACGGTCACCGGGCTGGCTGGGGAACACGTCTGCTGCTCAGTCGACCTCAGTTTTTTCCATTTTGTTGGATTGTCTGCAATTTTGGAGAATGGATTTCAGTCATACAAGCAGCTATATCTATCGTCGACGCTGCACACAAGTTTTGGCATCTCCAGCGACTGACTAAAATGTCAAACGAGGTGTTCCAAGAATGTAAACAGCGGCCGCCAGAATTTTGGGTGTACGGAAGCAATCTGTCTCGGCGATTCTTTTTCGAGGATACTCGGTAAGTGGACAAGAATTTTTCGTTGTCAAATGTTACAAGGGAACTGTGTAAGACAGTGTTACAATTGCCACAACAGAACATTAGTTAATTCAAGGGGCTGCTGAGAAGTTTGCGGTTATATTTTGTTCGTCCTCCCCGAGACTGCCCTCCCCACATAAATTTTTTCACATGCACCGCCGGGCTGATAAAGGAAATTCAATGTTTTAACGCCGAAAAATAAAAGACGCACACGAACGATTTGTAGAATAATTGTGTACAATACCTGCTGTTTTAATAAAGAACGATGATGCCGTAAAAATGTACACGTCGGATACACAAAAAGAGACTCGAAGTCCCGCACACAAGTTCGGCCCGGGAAGGTCCTGACGTCACGGCTGCCATCTACAAACGCAACCGTCAATGTTGTTTTCATACAAAATCTTCCAAGACGCACAAAAACTACGTAGAATATAATTATATATTATACGAATTTTAATGAGGAAAGACGATTATGTTAAAATGCCCACTTAGGCAATGTTTGCACTTGTAATTTTCTTACACCCTCGCCCTTTATGTTTGTGTGCGCTCACAATGGTGGATTACTGTTGTCGCATGTTCGCCGCTGTTTACAGCCGCTGTTCAACATTTTGTTACTCTATATTCTTGAAGAAAATCTTTTTCGTTTGATCATGGTATTTTGTATTTACTTCACTTGTATTTACTCACGGCTCGTTACGGCAACTGTTACAATGTGGGCGGCCGGGCCGTTACTTGTTGATTCGATGCCAATCTGCAATTGTTTTCAATATTACTATATCGGCACCTTTTGTCACGGGACGCCGTCGGAAACGCCGTCCCAACCCCGTCGGAGCGGCAAGATCAAAATGTCCACA